TACCAATAAACTACACAACAGATACCATTTCTTTTTTACGTTTTAAATATGAGCAGACTTATTGCGTTTTCCTTATTAAATTCACGAATAATCAATGTGTTCACCTTTGATGATACAGCAGACATCTACGCATCACTGGAAGGATTTATTAAGAATTATTACTATTACATACTGGAAAGCTGGTCTTTAATACAGTAGTATGAAACAATGATTTTACTATCGTTTTTAAAATTCTTTCAGCTCTTTGTAAAAAATTACCATCTCATAGCAATGATTTCCATCTCATAGCAAAGAGATTATTTACTGGAGAATCTCACTGAAAACTTGTAAAAAAAAGACAGAGAGACCATTTGTAAATATGGCAATAAAAATTTGCCAGAGAAAAACCTCTTTGTGACAGGATCTCAATTAGTATTTGCCACAAAGATAGAAACCCACTTGCGAGAATATCTCTGTGACAATTTGTAAAATACAAAAGCCATTTGTGAGCAAATCTCAAGCACAATCTACCACAAAGACAGGTAACGATTTAAGCAAGCATCTGTGCATTCCTGTAAGTGTATTAAGTATCTTCGAACTTATTAACTGTTAAACTGCATCGCATTTTTGAGGGAGAACACCCCAGGGGTGCCGTTCAATGTATCCCACCCCTCCCTCAGAGTCAATAACCGCTATATTGGCTGAATGGCTGCCACAAACTACTTGAAAGTATTGCAATCAAAATTTGCCACGAAAGTAGATAGGATAGTTAAAGCAAAGAAATAATGTTTTAATGCTATGACCCAAAACGTGAAGATTGAGCCATCCCGTCGCCGGGACTCGAACCTCGAACCTTTCGAATACGCGGCGAGTATGCTAACCATTACACCACGAAAGCATGCTAAGAAGGCGGGAGAAATACCTTATACCCTCACGGTCTTTAGATTTAATCTCATGCGATTTTGGAGACGGAGGTATTTATTAAGGATATGGTTTTCATATCTCCTCTTCTCACTAATATTCAGGGTCTTTTTAATTGTAGCATACGGTGCCTCTTTTTGACTATGATATATTGACAGGCCTATAGAATGAAACGGAATACCGCATAGATACCGGCCGCATCAGCAGAACTGGACACATTGAACTATTGTGAATTACCTTTAAAAAGTTAAATTTATTTATTTTTATTTCAATGTTATAAAATTTATCAAGGTGGCATAACTTTATAGTAGTAATTAATATAGCTTTTAGAGTTTCTTTTGATGATTTCTTTCATTTCGTAATTTTGCTTGCTTTTATAACAGTTCTGTAATCCCTGCGTCTGACCCTTTAAAATGCCTATTCTGATTCTAAGTTATAAAAGATATTTTTGTAAGTTATTTGGTACTACTAATTCATACCTCTATGCATTAGAATAAATTTTGGTTCTACCATATTAAATTAACAATGCATAAACAGAGAGTATAAAGAAATTTGAAAAACAATTGATGATAACAAGGAAGAAATAACATTAAGGTGCTAGACGTCCGATAATAACAATAACTACAGCTACGTACGTTTGCTAATTTATGTTTTGTAATTTCACATCCTGAAAAGCAGTTCTCACCATTCATCGATAATGAAGGTCTTAACCTTTGCAAGGGAAAAAAACTGCTAAACTTACACTCAGTTAATTATGTAATCAAACCAATCCCAGAAGCTGAACATACACATTGCGCAGAACTGGTGACAGAAATCAAGAAGGCAAAGATACGAAACCGTGACGTAAGACACCACCACGGGGAGGCCAGAAAACGGCAACCACGGAGAAAGGGAAAAAATTGCAAAAGTCCCCAGCATGTGATCCCTGTAACAAGATCAATATTTTGCTTCGTCCTATGTCCACAACACTTAGTCAGGTGGAAAATTGTGCCCATTTGATGGGAAAAGGCTAGTACAAATATTTGTTCGTCGGCGCCAAAAGTTGCTCTTTCTTTGTCCTTTTGGTCCGATATTAATTAATTTGACCCTGCCGACACGTGTGTTTTCATAGTGGACATTGATTTTTGTAGCTACTATTCTACTGCTGTCATTTTTTCTTACCTTCTTTACTGAATTTCTGTTAGAGTTTTCGCTTCGCCCAGCATTTACAGATTTCCATCTCTGTTTTGATAGTCGTTTGATAAATGGTTATCGATGATGGTTATCGTCGTTTAGATAATAATTAATGGAACGTAATTATTGATTCTTTTCGCTCTTTCATACTAAAAAATGCGAATTACTAACATTGCGGAAAATCGTGAATGAATAATATTATCTTATTATTAATTCACTCACATTTTAAGCATTCAACCAGAAGTTAATGTAATAAAGATCTAATCATTTATATCTAGTTTTTGCACTTTTATTCTAATGATGACTTACAAACATTAACTTCGTTAACATGTAAATGCAATATTTTTTATTGTTACTCATCTTTAATTGCGCGACTTTTTAAGGTGCAAAATAAAAATTACTTTGGTTTGGTAAGTTTATTCAAAAACATTACCCCCCCCCCAAAAAAAATCAAATTTTGGAAATAGTATAAAATATCATCAATATTTATTAATTACTTTGCTTATAAAAACTTTTCAATGTATTTCATAGATGAATTTTAAGAATTTTAAGAAATCTTCATCGAAAATATGAATACAGAAGGCATGAATTCTGTAGAAAAAGTGTAAAATGAGCAGAGATATAAAACTTCATTAAATATGAAAAAAATCTAATCTAAATTGTAATTTCTTAACTGCTTAAATTATAACACACTTTTTAAGTATCTTTTAGTTAGTTAAAATGTTTTAACTTAATTTTTTATTCCATTTTTCTCTAGTGAACTAACGTCCAATTTCTCTACCCGAAAACGTCGCTCTTAACTGAAATAGAGAAGACAGAAGAGATTTTGAAAAGCTCTCATTTATATTTTGAGAGAATGTTTTTCTCACTTGATTCCTTAGATAGTATTACATACTTTACTATGAGAATAAATAACCTTCCAATATTACGTGTGTTAACTCTAGAACTTCTTGTTCATGAGATGACTTTAAGGTACATTGTTTACGAAACTTTGGTACGACACAGCCGTTTGCGCGGAAAGAAGATTAACATATTATTTAAAATTACACAAATTACATGCAAATTTACTGAAATAAACACTTTTTCTTAAACCATAACAGATATCCTTTTTACTTTTAACAATGAAAACAGTTTCTATAGATTATTTTGATATTTCAAATATCAGAATGAAGTAATAATCCCCAAGAAATAATAAATTGGAAGCTACACCTATACACGTATTCACGTGTATGTATAGGCCGCATGCGTGTATAAATAACACTTAAACTGCATTTATACTCGTATCATTACGTACAAGGAAACGGAATCCAAGTAACAGGAAGAGAGTTTGATGTACCTGCAAAAACGTGAGACGATAGATTCAAACCAACTTCAAACATGCTGCAATAATTTGAAGCATTTATCAATCAACCTTTTAAGATGCAGCTCTTCTATCACATTTGGAGGCTCAGTGCTATAAGAGGATGCCGGACAATGCGTTAAGAAAACCATCTCTGGCTCAGATGTGTGAGGTAATGGCGGCATGGAAGCTAATACTAGAATAAATGGAGCACGAAATTTTCGAAGTCAAATTTATTTCCAAGGTGATGGACGAGTGAGAGGACAAAGCAGTGTATCTCGTATCATCCAAGAATGTAGATTCGTGTGACACTCGTAGAAAGAAAAAGTAAAAAGCAAAAGTAATATCTGCCAGTTTGAAATGAAATTGTTAATTAGAATCCTTATAATCTCGAATTACGTTAAAGATAACCAATGGAATTAAATTTCTTTAAAAGTATTCGTTAGCTGAGTACAGACCGCCTAATTTTTCTCAAAAATGTAGGGTACAAATATTCGGCTTATACACACAAAAATATGATAGATGAACCTCACATTAACAGCCATAACTAAATTCATTCTGAAAACTTTGGCTGGACTACTCACGTAACAAATATCCCAAAATGTGCGGCATTAATTGCGACTTTATTAGAAGACTGAGAATGCATTCTAAGATTTCAGTTCATCTGCTGCATAATTGCAACAAACTTACATTCAAAATGGAAACTGGAATATTCCTGCTGTCGAAATTAAAACAAAAATAACGAGATCACAACATAAAAAAACTTCATATTTTTTTAATAGAAGCATATTTCTGTGTAAAAGGAACTTTCCAGCGGCATTCGTTGGTTCATGATATTTCAATTCAGGAATACGCTCGCATGATATGATATGATATAATATGATATGAGGGACGCAGCCCGACCCTCCTGGCAGACTTTACGTCACCCTATGGCTATCCGAAAGCAAATTTCCCAGTATGAAACATATAATTACGAATGTACGAAAAAGTATTTCAGATGAACATTTTGAATATCACAGCCGCTGTGGCATCTATTAAAACCCTCCGACCGGCAAGACTCTGTATATATACGCCGCAGAATAATTTTATGACATCTTTAAAAAAAAGCTTACATACGTGCATCTTGAAATATCTCCAAACAATGAAGGCAATATATTAAAAGTATATAAATCCAGGAACAAAATACCAGGGGCATTTTAATATTGAAATCCAGAAAATATCTCTTTCTCATAATATGTTGGAGAACTATAGATTTTTTTTTTTTTTTTTTTTTTTTTTTTTTTTTTACGAATAAAGTAGTATTCAAGAAACAGACTGACTGTTCACATTAAAAATGTTTGGACACTATGTTATGATCATTTAAACATTAAATTTGCGTACGGCTCTTGGCATAGTGTAACCGGACGAGACAGCTCTTCTCTTTGTTGGGCCACGTGCTCCTGAAACTTTTAAAGACTGTACATGCCTGGATAATTTTTAAAAACATTCTGTCAAAAAATACTCCTGCTCAACTTAATTCAGGTAAATGAAGTCCTGCTGTAATTCCAGACTTTGCTTATTCTTGTTGTATAACTAAAAAATGTACGGATAAGTTTTACCATGTTTATTAACATTACATAATTACATACTCAATATAAACTCTATGAAAATACATTTATCTGCTACTTCTGCAGATACACATATAAGTTTTCTCAAAAACCCGCTATCATAAAATAAATAAATAATTATATATTTTTGCATTACGATACTGAGAAAACTACAAAATTATAGTTCAGTACACATAGCTACAAAATATGTAAATGTAATTATGTCCAAACGGGCTCATTTTTCCAAGAGGACAGATCCATACGAGGTATTTTACCATTTCTGCAATTTTCAGCAGGATTCCTGAAATTAAAATTAATTAGGATAAATCAAAATTTAGAACAAGAAATTAACTATATTTTGAAACAAAGTAATGGAATATGCAGCGTTATTCGAAAGGAATGAACCGTTTTTTAAGTCTTTTAAATAATCTTCAAGGATCTTTGCGAAATTAGTCGATAACATTTCAAATGGGTGGAATTCTGCATTTCGGATAGTTCACAGCCGGGCACTCTAACGTGCCCTTAACGCATGCATCATTCCTCTTACCTTGAGTTGCTTACACTCGAAATGGCAGCACTTCAGTACAAGATGATCTGCGTTCTTGAGTTCACGAATATTCAACAATGGTTTCGATAGTTTCAGAAGAATGGATGTCTATGTAAAAGAAAATAAAATGAATGCCCATAAACTTCAGAAGAAAAGGTGTGAAAATCCTGGCGATATTTCAGTGGAGGTCACATTAGTTCACATCCTCAGATTAAACGTGAACTTAATGATATTTCAACACACAGGAACACTTCTATGAAGGAAAGGAAATTTCTTTATTAGTATAATACATGTGCCAGATTAAAAATTTTCTTAATAAAATACAGCTCTCTAAAACTGGTTCATTCTTTTTGAATAACTCTGTGTTTAATATCTTCACTTTTATTTGCAAATTTACTCTGCAGTTTATATGTTATTATGTTACTATAAAGGCAAAGCCCCCAGCTCCCCTGGCCGATGATTCAGCCATAAAGCTTTTAGAGGCTAGCTCGACAAAACAAAAACGAACTGGAAAAAAAAAGAATAAACAGTTGAACATTTAATAAAACGATACATAAATAAAAGAAAACAGATACGCATCATCCACACATCCACTCCAGCCAAGTATCTCTGTGCTTTTATAATATTCATTATTTCCCTGGAATAAAGCAGCATTTTACCATAATCTTTAAAATTTCTTCGAAATTCGATTTTCATTTTATCTCTAATACTTGCAGTCAGGCTACAAGTTTCAAAGAAGTGAAGATTATCACCTGTTACTCTACATAGCCGACAAAGATTGTTTTCCTGCAAGGCAAACACTGTTCAAGTACATGGGAAAAGTCCATGTCCCGTCAAAATTTGATTCAGATCTATATCAGTGTAGTACTTTCTTCCTTTATAAATCTGTAGAGTACGCATATAATTTTTCTTTTTTTTCGAGGGATTCCAATTGTTTTTTTTTTTTTTTTTTTTTTTTTTTCATTTTTCATATATACTATTATATAAAATTCCAATAGTCTTTTTTCTAGAGCTATGCAGTTTGATTTCTTTATAGTTGCCAAGCGTGAGTTCTTTTGACAGTGCGTCAGTCCTTCCATTACCATGGAAACCTACATGTGCCTCAATCCAATGTATCTTATTGTTATATTTTGTACGTAGATGTCTATATTACATTTTAATATTCACTATACGTTATTTAATATTCACTATAAGTTTATTATCAAACACAAACCCAGAAAGTAATTGCAAGTGCAACTTATATGTATAACGATATAAATTTTGAAACTTCAGCATGAGTTTGTAAAGTCATTAGTTTTTTTTTTTTTTTTTTAATAGAAGACGTGAAAAATATGCAGTACCTTATCCGGGACTCGAAACCTGGACATTTCGAATGCGCATAGAGTATGCTTCCAATTACACTACATTATAACTTATATAATGTTTTCTTTAGGAAAATAGTTGCTTTGCAACTGATTCATCATGAAAATACCATGAATGGGAACAATAACTGTAAAAATTATAAATTCCAAAATGTCTTTACGTAATTCTGCAATACGATATAATTTACACTTTTAAGTCTCCTGCATAAACAACTGCACTCTTGTGAGTATTTTAAAATGCAGTTAAGAGAGAATTGAAATTGGCTTTAGAAATACGATTTAATTTTTATTTGGAATAAAGCAAGACTGAAATATTCATATTTATAGTTTTTATACTATGTTTAAAACATTAAAGGATGTTTTCTTTAAAAAAATCAAAAGACGTATCGTATTTTCTTTGAAAAATCAAAGATAAGATTCAAAATTTTGTTTCTAATGAATTGTTTACGTTAAAGTTTTCAAGTAATATTATTGTCGCTGAAAACGAAGGAAATATTACTAATGAGAATTTTGCAAGAAATTATCACATTTCCTTGCACAATTGTGAAGTATAAGTTGTTGCACATCTAGTCATTATTTCGAAAATTCGTGATTCGAATTCGAGTTAATTCCTTTTAAATCGCGTTAGATATAATGCACTTACACTTAACATGATTCTTTTCCGATTGCAAGAGAAAAAACGAATTTACAGAGATCACCGTGGCATAGTATTTTATTTTTAATGATAAAGAACATAGAAACCTCAGTTACCAATTTTACTACATAGTTCTTCGTTTTTACAGCTTTACATAAGCCGTATTCTACCTATTCTTGTATCATAATACGTAAAAGTTTCACAGTAGTAACTTCCCTGAAAACCACACACAACGTTAGTAGAACGTAGCTTTTACTGCCAATCCAAGGAATTTTATGGATGTTTTTGCCAGTGGTCCAGCGTTTTCTTTGTGTAAAGTTTACCAAATATATTTCAAGATTATCCGCTCATTTTGCTAGCGTAAGGACGCCAACAAAAATGGTCCGCATGTGTTAATCCTTTTTAAAAGCCGTGTACGTATACATTTGATTAGGAAAAGAGAACAACTCAAGACTCGAATATATGATTTTGAGTAAAAAACTGAACATATATGAGATCGAAATTCAAATTCAATTACCCAAAAATTTTAAGTACCGTATCCAACTCATGTTTTCAAACACAAAAAGAATTCTGTGCATACAAATAATTTATCAAAGCAGAAAAGTAAAAATCACTTCGTACATTGTTGAAGAATATGCTTTCGATGCATATAAATTGCTAAAATACAAATGAAATTAAGAAACTCATAAGATATTTTCTCCCTCCTTAGTGCATGCTTTTGTAGTGTAACTGGAAGTCCGATTAATACTCTGAAGTTCGATTCCCGTCAAGGGCACAGTATAATTTTCACGTCTCCTGCTTCGACAAATCTAATGACTCTGCAAGTCATGCTAACCTAAAAGGTGGTGGACCACCAAGTCGTCACCACCAAGATTTAGCAATTCGGTATCCTCATCCCTAGTCACCCTTTAAGAGGGGAAATAGTAAGGTATTTTCTTTCTCCTTAGGGCGTGCTTTCGTGATGTAATTGAAAAGCACGTCTGGAAAGCAATTAGAAAGTCCAGTGTTCAAGGCGAGGTACTTCCCCTTTTTCACGAGTCCTGGTTTCACATTTTAAATCGCACATTTAAATTTTAGATAAGCTATGCGAAATGATAATGGCATAAAATCATGTGGTTTTCAGAGACAATTACGCAGGTGAAAATAATACTAATAATGAAAGAAATTAATGTGTGAAGACTATTAGGTTTTTCGAGCAGAAAACAGAAAAAAATCAACTATGCCGACACTGGAACCGCGGATCATCAAACGCTAGCTGTAGTATATGGTATCCACTTAGGCCACGAAAACATGGATGGAAAATGCGATAATTTCCTATATTCTTCTCCACTTAAAATGCGACTGGGAAAAACGCACGAAAACCAGTCGACTAAATCCGGTGATGATGAATTGATATTCATCACACTTTTTAGTTCGAAAGCCACCATAAAGATTATTAGATTTTTTGAGCGAAGTACCTGAAAAGTCAACCGTTTCTTAATCAGAATTCGAATCACGAATTTTCGAAATAATGACTAGATGTGCAACAACTTATACTTCACAATTGTGCAAGGAAATGTGATAATTTCTTGCAAAATTCTCATTAGTAATATTTCCTTCGTTTTCAGCGACAATAATATTACTTGAAAACTTTAACGTAAACAATTCATTAGAAACAAAATTTTGAATCTTATCTTTGATTTTTCAAAGAAAATACGATACGTCTTTTGATTTTTTTAAAGAAAACATCCTTTAATGTTTTAAACATAGTATAAAAACTATAAATATGAATATTTCAGTCTTGCTTTATTCCAAATAAAAATTAAATCGTATTTCTAAAGCCAATTTCAATTCTCTCTTAACTGCATTTTAAAATACTCACAAGAGTGCAGTTGTTTATGCAGGAGACTTAAAAGTGTAAATTATATCGTATTGCAGAATTACGTAAAGACATTTTGGAATAACATCAGACTGTGGCTTATTAAAGAAGAAATGTGAAGAAAATAATTTCAGAATCATCGTAAAAACATTAATCTCGAGCGTTCAAAATTAAAGGGAACGGACATATCGAGAAAAAGTTAATACTAATTCTCAACACAATATACTAGAGAAACATTCAGCTGTATTTACCGAATCTTTTTAATTATCTAATTCGAGTAATGCTTACATGTATCGGAACACGCAGCCATATACTGCAAAGAAAAATAAAACACATTTCGAATGCTTAAAGCAGTTTAATTTAATTGTCAAGTTGAAAGTAATATCGCGATGCATTAAAAAGTATTAAACTAAATGTCGTTATGTATTAATTAAACTAAAAACTAAATTAAATTAAATACAGAATAATGAATTAGATCAGTTTATTAAATGACTGAAATAAGTAAAAAATAATATAGCTTATAGCATTACGTAGAATGCATTGCTTTTTTTTTTTTTTTTTTTTTTTTTTTTTTTTTTGTGTGTGTGTGTGTGTGTGTGTGTGTGTGTGTGATTATTTGTATTACTTAAAAGCAATTTTGTCATACAAACAAAATTAAATTTCCTTGACATCTCAGCACAGTTATCAGTTCAATACTTAATGAATGCATATTAAATCCAATTCACTTAATCGAGATTCAGAAGTTAACGTTCCCTAAACGTGATTTAAACCAGTATTTCCCAATCTGTGTTCCGTGGAACATTAGTGTTCTTCAAAAAGTCACTAAGTGTTCCGTGAAAAATTATGAAAATTAAATTAGAGAACAACGAAAAATTGTCTGCTTTTATGTATTTAGCACAATTTCAAACAGCCAGTAAAGGAAATTTACAGGGAGAACATAAAGTAGTTTAAATCATCTAAAACATGAAGATCAATTGAAGACAACTGCGCAGTTCAAAAACAGATTTCATAGCTAATTATTCTATAGCTACGCACAGCTCTTGGTAAAATTCTTCTTTGTAGTCTGCCGAATAATACGGGAACTAATCGTCTTTTCTTAAGTTGTTCGCCGCACTCTAGTAGCACAGTAAACGAAAGGGAATTTACCCTGTTTATAAATGATACCAATAACACTAGATTTCAAAACAGCATTACAAGATACATGATTAAGTTTTCTAAGAATATTTTCATATTTTTAGATAAATACATAATATGATTCTTCCAGCAAACCTAATCATCAAGAATAATGCCAAAATATTTAATTTCATTCCCCTTATCGAATAAAATATTATCAAAGTAGAATTGTTGGTTTGCAACTAACATGCTTTGTGTAACTAACATGCTTTCTTTTAATTATTATAATTTTAGATTTATTAGGATTGAATTCCAACTTTTGCTCTGGTGACCAATCTGAAACCCTATTAAGAGTGCTCTGTGAAATATTAGAAGTATCGGAATACTTCCCTTGAAAACAAATCAGTAGACCGTCAGGATATTAAGTCTCGAGAATCTGAAAGTCTAGTACGAAGATCATTCGTAATTCAATTCCAGAGTAAAGGTCCGGAAACGGAAACTTAAGAACAACCTCTTTCCAAAATGTTGAAAATAGAAACATGGGCACATTTATCATGCAAAACATCCTTAATAAGTATAAAAATATCACATAGCTCTTCTTAAAAGGGAAGTATCCCAGACCACCAAGCGTGGGCAAAAGCCCTATTAATATCAAGAAACAGTAGACTGCGTGAATATACCTTATTATCTTCATCAACTATATCTTTCAGGTACATAAAAACTTCATAGCGTTTAGTCAGAGTAAACCGAAATTATGCTTTGTTTAGAGGTTTTGTGTACGAACCAGTAAATTCTATTAATACACAGTTTTTCTAGGACTAATGCATATTTAATCATATAAATGTGAAACACAAGGACCACTCTTCTTGGGGATTAAAATGACATTTGCTCTCTTCCAGCAACGAAATAATGAGCCAAGCTTTAGACAAGTACTGAAGATTTTAGAATACATATTCAGAAACATTCTATGAATTTGCTTCAAACTTTCATTTGAAATATAATCAAGACGAGAAGTTTAATTTGGTTTAAGGTTTTTAATAACACCATTAATTTCTGAGCTTGTAAAAGAGGATCTTGTTTAGCATCATCGTTAATAGAAGCCTCAGTCCTAATCATACTGTGAAACAAATTTCCCAATTATTTATCATTTGATGGGTCAGTTGTAAAATATATGTTAATAATCTCGTTTACTGTTTCTTCTAGCAACTTGGTGCTATTAACAGATACGAGATAAGTTCCAGTGATTTCCACTCTTTCCATTAAATTTTGCTTTATAGCCATTTGTATATATTTTCTTCTAAGTATTCCTTTCGCTAATATTCATTGAAATTCATTCAAAATAATAATTATTATTTTAGTTAATATTTATTGAAAAGTCTTTCCAAGAGTTAAGTTTTGCATCCTTCAGTTTTGAGCTGTAATATCTCCTAAGCGTAGACATTTTTGTCTATACAGGTCCCTGAGTAGGACTGCGATTTCATTGAAACCTACGTTAAAAAGCGTTAACCTCTTTTCTTATGCATTCGGTTTCATTAGTCCACCAAGGCACCTCTTGAACACCATGAACATTCCCTATGAACTTGTTGTTTTTTTACAGGCATGGAAGTCTGAGTCGCTATAAAAAACAGAGTTCATATATTCTAGAAGTGAATTTAAGGCATATTTATCTATACAGTAATGAATAAACTTTGAGAGATTACCAACTGACATCTTGTATGAATAATAAAAGTATCCCAGTTAACTTTCTTTACGCTGAAGATTATCTTCATGTTACCTCTGTTATAAAGAGAGTAATAAGGAGCTACAAATAGATCAAACTTAATCGTATCGTGATCTTAAGAGAGATTCCTAATCTTGCTGACAGCAAAGCAAAATATCTCCGACAGTCACTTCCCACGATGGTAATTTCAGTATAGCTTGAACCTTGAGTACTACTGAAACTAAGACCGCAGCCTTCATTGATAAGAAACAGAACATTGATACTAAAACATTCAGGAAGCTTAGCATCTTGGGAATCAAAAACTGAACTATACCAAATTTCAAACAGACTATTGGCAACCATTGCCCAAATTAGGCTATTACAGACTGTTAAAGCAAATGCTCCATTAATTTTGTGTAAATTCAAATCAATACTTTTGTTAGGTTCAAAATAATATGAGAAAACGATATTAAGAATAACATGAAGGAGCACCATATTATAATCAAGATTATTAATGTTAAGCAAAGTAAATACCATTCGATTCCGTAAAAATAGTTGCAGCATTAATACGTTGACCGAAAGAATGTCACTCCGTGTTGACAAATAATGCGCCTTTCTAATTTCTCGCTGCTAGTAGTTGACTGCATGAGACTACTCAATGCTGGTTCAACTTTTGTCGTCGGTTTGAAAAGTAGAGGAATATGATATGATAAATCGGTGCTTTAAATGCCTTGGCAACAACCAAAAAGGAACTGTTTGCTTCAACTCTATTGCTTGTTTTAAAAATGCAGAAGAACACAAAGTTAGCATAGAAAAAATCAAGAAAGGTAAGTTTGTATAAACTGCCTCCGTTGTATTAGCAAAGTCAAGGATGTTAGCAAGAACATCAGTGTCAAGCATAAGCCTTTTTGAGAGATTTGTCAATCTCATATTTTAATAAAGAATAGAAGTATTACTCAAACATGGATAATTCTCCTTTTACTGTTCTTAAAATTACTGAACTTAATCTTCATCATTTTCAAAAGACTACGCAGCTAGTTTTAAATATGGAAATTTCTAATAGTTATATAGCTCTTGTTCAAGAATCTCATTTGCAGAAACTATTTCTTTCCAGCTTTCCTTCCTCCTGCAGGGTTTATTTGAATGCTAATAGTGATACCAAGAACTAAAATCGAACTAAGGAAGAACTAAAATCGAAACTCGTATACTATAATCCATGGACGACTGATAAACTAAGTGATCCGGTCTGAAAGAAATTTTAGCCATACCTCAGCAAACGACAAAGACGGGGAATTTTTAACTTCCTTAACAAGCAGATTTATTTAATGAAACTCTGACAGCTAACTCCAATTATAAGAATAGAAAATTTTTCAATGATAAAAAATTTTTATGAACCATCACAAACATGCTGCAAATGTTTTTCATTCCATCCTTTTGAATCATTTGTTTCGGACTGAACTTTTTTCTCTTTCCTATACTTTTCAGAGAAAGGAGTGTGGTCCTGAGCAGAGCAGTAACTTCAGGTACTCAAGTAACTCAAAATTTAGTTACTCAAACAGAGCAATAACTTCAGTTGATTATATTTTAAGATAACTTACGTTATCTTGAAATTCATGGAACTAAGAAAAGTATTCAGAATAGGAGATTTGTGATTAAGAATAGACTGTCTGATTTTTTAGATCGTAGTTTCCAACATTTCAAAAGTGTTAAAAAACTACTTTGTATTCAGTTTAAAATATGGATGTAAGTCTATCAACAAATCCAACTCTAGTGATTTCATAGCTTAAAACGCAATTTCGCTATAACAATAAAAAGGAAATACTGACCATTTGACTGGCCGAACAAAAGATACGAGTTGTACTTCTTCTACATTTGTATTATCACACAGAATTCTAGAAAGAGTCACTTTCCTTATTTCTTGCAGTTGCCCTGAAAAAGTGCAAAAAATAAGAATAAACTATTAAACATAAAAGTAAATGCGTACTTACTTTTTTGTTATAGTCATATGAAAAAGTAAAAACAAAAATTTCATTCACTGCACCATTTTACTTTATTGCACAATATATGAGTGCTGAATATTTTTATTTGTTGTTCTACCATGCAGTTATCAGAAATTTTTTCTGAAAGTATTTCAGTATTCTAAAATCCTTATTAAGTAAAAATGTTTGCATAATGAAATATTTTAAAATTTACAAAACAAGTGCCTTTAAACAATGCCGGTTTCACTGTATTTAATAAATAGCTAAGCTGCTGCGGAGCGAATAGGTTCGTTGTTCATAGTACAATATTTCGGAGAATGGAACAGAGGTCATGAAGTCTCTGAGAAATACGCCTCATTTGAAACAGACTAAAACTACTTAATTTACTCAAAATAATTATATTCACGTGTTTATGTTTTGCACACGAGGTTCCAACAGGTTATAAACATTGGCTAATTCAAATCGTTCGTAAAGTACTAGAAGTCTCTTTATTTGTGGGTCTTTCTAAATAAGCTATTCAATAAGCCATAAAATGGATTTTCAAGAAATGTAAACAATTTTAAATAGCGAACGTTTATCATCGTTGGCACCTCCTGTACATAATAAAAATATATGAATATCATATTTTTGAGAGAATGTTAAGATATTTTGAATCTAATTCACATACCACATCTATCATAAACTTGTCTTGAAATCCTGTTATTCACCTTGTATAAGGTAACAAGGGGTTCGGACGAGGAAAGCTAAACATAATAAATACATTTCGGTTTTCCAAATGCCACAAACGCCTGGAGCAAAATATTACATATAAATGATTACTGGCTGTTTTGTGCTCAGTTGGCACAAATTTTAAAAACATTCCGGATTTCGTATCCCAGCGAACAAGCTGGCTGCATGGGCACCTTTGTGATTTTTCCCATACGTAACATGCATATGATCCAGTTTCCCTTAGAAAGTCTTTCACGAAAATATCTCTTCTTTTAAGCGAGATAGCCCTTGTCTGCTTTTTCGTAATCAAATAAACCAAACCAACGATCCGTCAATTCTACGCGACTCTTAGCTGATGAGAAAGGTTTTTGATGCCACAAATCAGGTTTAAATGTTTACGTTTACATGTTAAGCACCTCTGTTTTAATTTACATCAATGAATCGTATGATTTTTCTGCAGGCATAAAAAGTATTTGATGTTGCATTTTAAACTTTGACCTTATCCTCACGTTCTTGATCACACTGCTGAGAACAGCTGCAGTTCATTCTATTTGTCTACAGATGGTATAAATTACTAAACGTGTGTTTTAATATTTTTTTAATTCTCATCGTAAGTAAGTAAGTAAGTAAGTATTCTATCTGGGAAAACGGAAATATGAAAGAGGAGGACAAGAGATATAAAGCAGAGTGGGAAGAAAGAAAATTGTGTTTTGGGGAATAAAAACTGGAAACCAGTGTGTCTTTTATGTCAAATAACATTGTCACAGCTCAAAGCCAGTTACTTTAAGCGGTAATGTGAATGAAATCACTGTTTTTTCAGGCAACAGTTTCTTGCTGTACATGCTAAACACTTTTTAGACAGTTAAGGACTACGCCTATAAAAGCAAAATTAAGTAACCAAACCGAGGTTCTGTTAACGTTTATTACACAGACATCGGTTGCAAAAAAGGTCGGATTTATTATGGTCTTCGGTACTGCTCAGGCAAAACGTCCTTACGTTGTAAGAAATATCGTAAAAAATATTGCGAAAGCAATTTCTGCTTTAGATCTAGAAAATAAAAAACTAATTAAATTAATTAGTAAATACTGCATGTAGACATACTACGGAAAAGTGAATTTCTGTTGCTTCTGATAACGACATAAAAAACTTGCAAAAGGATTTGATTCACTGTCCAGCACTGAATCTGGCCTTAGAGGAATCTGCGGACATTGACCATAAATCACAGCTAGCTGTATATATTCGTTATGTAACAAATAATCTAGAAGGGAAGAAGGATTATTGAATCTTATTCCACTAATGGATGCGACTCAAGTTATAGATATAAAAAACGCCCTTGACGCTGTACTTAGAAACATTCTGTACCGATTAAAATGTTAGTTAGCGTTGCAACTAACGGCGCTCCACCTATGAACGATCCTATTAAAAGGTTTCTGAAAATTTTAAATACCAATACTTTGTATCCCAATTTTGTTCCTATTCATTGCGTTTAACTATTTACGCTGGAGCAGTTATTTAGCACAGAGTGTCTTCAGCTTCCATTACAAAATTAAACTCCTTGAGACCTAATTTCTAAAACCCAAACCTTCGCTCACTTTCCATGTCTTACTAAAACGTTGAAACCTTTATCAGAATATGAAATAATAACAACAGATTATACATGCCAGCTGCAGAAGCTAGCAGAAGACACTGACAGATTTAGTGATTCAATCGTTTTCTTGTTAACAGTTTTAAAAATGGCTGTCCCATCTCACAGCCAGTTGCATTGCGGCTTAGAGCTTCAAGATGATGAAGGATTGAAACAGCTAAAAGAAAACGGTGGTTCAAATATTGAGCTTTGGAAAGAGCTTCTGGGACAAAATATCCTAAAATCAATAGTGTGCACTATGTAATACTAAAATTCATTAAAAATAAGTAGCGGTTTGTTTTAACTAATCAGCATAGAACTGATCTTTAGCGAATCGCCTAGCAAGTCATCAACAAAACTTTCGGCATCAACAACAGCAACAAGTCATCAATAAAACTTTCGGCAGAAGGAAAACAAAACTTTCGGTCAACTGCTAAGATGAAAAATATTTATGAAGCATCCACAAACAATACAACTTTTAAAGTTTACTTTATAAAATAGTTTGAGAGAATCAGTAAAATATTTTTATTTTATATTCTTGAATAATATTATTGAGTTTCTTAACTAACAAGAAATTAAACAAAATAATCATGTTTGGGCATTAATCACTTTGCTAATAACGTTGTAAAAAGGAATGAAATAAATTAATTACTTTCATTGCGCACTAAGCACTTATAAAAGAAATGAAATATAATTTATTTCTTTTGTACAGTGAATAGTTTTAATTTGCCACATTTCCTACACATATTTTATTTAAGAGGGAGAGCCACACCATACCGCATCACTCGTCGACGAGCAGAACCGCACCACTCGTCTGCAAAACGCTATGGCCACTCCTGATGCAGAGTTTTGAACTTTTTTATACATTTATACATTTTACACTCACATATATTTATGTTTTTATTCCTCTTAACATTATAGTTTTTAACATATTAAGCCATGAATTGAAAAAGATTTTTAATTCACTTGTACATAATGTACACACATGATTTTATCCTATACATCGAAAATTCTCGATGTTCTGCTAAATCCTTCGCTTTCAATATAATGCCAGTTTAATTTTTGTTCCAATTCAGTATTATAAAGAAGAAATATTGCATGCATTCACACGGCTTAGAGGAAGAGTTCAACATTTCCAGACTATTCATTTTAGGGAATTGTAAATAGTTATCTTCAAGTAAATACGTGTATTAAAAAATCTTAGATTCCTTTCGTCAAATATCATCAAAATGAAAATATTTTGTATTGCTCAGACTTAACTAGCAGTTATTATTCAATAGATGTTGTCAATTATTTATTTAAAGAACCAGAAATTTTGTTTTGTGTCTAGACCGAAAACTTCCGGCACTATGCACCAAACTACAGACATCGAAAAGTTTAGGGAAGAATTATCAATAACAAGTACTGTATTAGTAAAGGCAGCTTCAAAACGTGAACCAGTTTAATAAACATTAACTGTTAAAGTCAATTTCTAAAAAAAAAAAGGGCAAGAATACAGGAACACAACCAGAACAAATTTCGTAAAATAAACAAAAACGAATTTACGCAGCAGTTTGAAATATGCTCCTCTAGAAAGAAATAAAAGAAAATCTCGAGCTTGTCTCATTCTCATCCAGAGCACTCTTTTTACATGTGATGTAGTATACGGAGAATTATAATAATACCATTATTATACTTTAGATTGCGAAACACGCGCAAACAAAAATAAATATTTCGTTACGCATTTTCGCTTAAATCAGAATCCTTGCTACAGTAGCCACAATATACAAGGAAATATACAGTTTTGGAAAGCTGTTCGTAAATACGATGGAAGCTTTATATTTCATAGGCATTTTCTTTTCCACAGAAACGACGAACGAAGAGCTAACTATAAGAGATAACCAATCAGACATTCCTGTCAAGGGATGCTACCTGACTGAAGCAGACATGGTCCATGAATATTTCAATATCCAGCAAATAGTACGACAGCGCCATCTGTGAGACCCAAGAGAAATCATGACATAGATATATTTACCTTTCCGGTTGCTCTAAATATTTATTAAAGAAGTCTATTTAATTGCAACAATATTTTTGTTTTAGACTTCAGGCTAAAAGATACTAATTCCAAGTATTTTTAATCTAAGTTTTTTTAAGATGGTATTAGCATTTTATATTTTACTCTGTAAAGCTAAAAATATGCAGAGATTGACGGGACTGTTTTCCATGTTTATTCATACCCTAATTGAGAGGAATAGATTTTAAATTCATTGCTTAAATTCCTGGTTCTAAAAAGATATCAAGTTTACATATTGTTTATCTAATACTTAAAACTCTTAGGTTTTTTTTTTTTTTTTTTTTTTTTTTTAATTTTCTTCTAACTGTTTTTAAATATTCCATCAAACAACAGAAAAATATTTAGGATCTATGAATAAATGAACAGCTCGGCTTTAACCTGTTAAAACCAGTGTGTGTCAACAATAACCGATGATGCTTTTATAACTTGTAAGTAGCCTGAAGTATAGACTTGATACAAAAATTTTTGATTTAAAGGTGCTTTTAACTGATTATAGCAAAGGACACGAGGGCTATCTACTTAAAGGAAACGATGCCTTCGTGGAATGTTTCTGAGGCAAACTAATTCTTATTCATTTTACACACAAGTAAAACCAAGAAAATATCCAGTTAACCAGTTCATTCGTTCATTGTGAAGCTCTTTAGTTCGACCTAGGTGTACAGGTGGAAATTCATGTTACTTCTAATAATTTTAATCAGTATAATAAGACATTGTCACATTCCTCCGTGCACATCTGGCTAGCAATTAGAAGATCCATAATGAAAACCCAGCGAAGACAGAATTGATTTTTCCCGTTTCGCACTCCAGAATACCAAACATTCTGTTCAACAGGCGCCCGAACTAAAAATTATGTAGTCCTTTCATTAGGAAAAAAATTAAGGAATTAACTGATTCTACCAAGAGTAATCTCCTGATTTAAGTGATTAGCTTCCAATAATCCGTGTTTCGAATGCAAGAGCAGAATTAATTTTGATGCTTCCTTTCTATACAGTCACTAATTACACCTTACGGTATCTACAGTTATAATAAAAACTGCAATATTATCATTATTTTAACAGTTTTTAAATATATCAGAATTGATGAAAATTTCTACTGAAATTATCACAAACTGTTTATTTCAGTAGTTCAATTATTAACATTGTTTCTTTAGAATCACCTTGTATCAACTTCTTCGTATTTTTTTCCAAAATTTTCTGGATTTATGCAGCTTTACATTGCTTATAATCAAAGTAATGCAGTCCATTCTGACTTTTAGACTTCCTTTTCCAATCGGCCCAACAGCAGGCGAACGGTAAAGTCACTGAACACTGGTAGCACGATCCGAGGTTCGAATCTTGCGAACGAGCTGGCTGCATGAGGCATTTTCGTGGTTTTACTCATATGTAACCTGTATAAGAGCCAGTTTCCCTTAGAAAGACCTCCACGAAGGCATCCCTCCCTTTAGGCAGATAGCCTTCGAGTGCTTTGCCATTATCAAATAAACCAAATCAAATCAAACCAATCCTTTTGTAATTAATTTTTGATTTTAATAACTCTCTACTTTTAACTAACTGTAACGTAATTTAGAAAATATGCTCTCATTATGTCTAGTTAGAATTGTCGCATCTTGCTCATCCGTAATACCAGCGCGTTAATTTCTTTTCTAGTAACGTAGGATGCTTCGGTTTCGCATATCATGGAATGATAAGCATAACAGGATTTTGCTCCAAATTTATTAAAGGCTGAGTACTAGTAAACAAAATGCTCCTGCCTTTCAGATTCCCGTAGATATTTAATATTTTTCTAGTTATTTATGCAACGAAATTAAATAAAATATTTACTAAATCGACTTGGTGTCATTTAGCAAAACACATAATCAATTCGAATGTAAAAGCTTTTAACACGAAGTTCATCAATAATCAAAATTATATCATTCTTGATTAAAATTTAAAACTATTAAATTATTAAGGTAATTTTTACTAAACATAAAATATTAAATTATTAAAAATATTACTATTATACTTGATTAATTTAAAACAGTTATAAAACGAAGGCAAATTAGAATGAAACTGCATTCTTGTTTGATTCTATAATCGTGAACAATAGTTATTTACTAGGGGGAGGCCTTGTCTTACCTTCACTGAACGATGATTCCATTCCTCCATTCTCGTACCAGAATCTATCTCCCAGTTTTAATCTGCGAAACTGTTCTGCAATAATGCATGCAAAAGTTGGACCTAAGATGGCGTCTGGCAGAGGATTTTCAGAGAGTCCAGCTGGATATAAATCCACATCATCGACGTTCCTGGAAGAATATATATAGCAGCAATGATAATATTGAAAACAAACAAATTCTAAAATGATTATCCTTTAACTCAATTCTTAAATAATTTGATAACACTATAGCCTCCGCTTACCGTAGATTTGTCAAGGATACGACTGATGGTAGCACATTTGCAGTTGATTTCAGAGGTTATAGGGTTAAGGCGGACGGTATGTAGAAGAATTGTGGTCTGCACATCAATTAATCGTTTTATATGAAGTTCTAGAACAAGTCATAAAAATTAGCAGCATCCAACATCTGCAGATTAGCAGAAATGCCGGTACTTAGAATTAAAATACAGTTGGAATATGGGGGAGTTCAGCTGGGATCATTACGAAGTTTGATCAGTGGGTTCCACACCATCTGCTTTAATACCTTATTACAGAATGAACCATTTTTGGAGTGCACTGAAATGGAGTATGAGAAGTGGGTACTGGCACTGTAATGTTTAGGACTATGTGCCAAACTCAATCATCAAACTCAAAAGTAGAAATGCATTCCAAAAGTAATTACTGAACATTTAATATGTAATGAACATTTAATAAATTAATCACAGATGACTTTATTTAGCCTGCCTAATTTCAAAACTAATAGTGGAATTTTTGAAATATTGCAAAAACCTAGCGTACGCTTGATGGAATAGAGCTAACCAACTTACTAGAGCTGAATTTGCAGAGACGGCTTCGAGTGGTAGAGGAAAGAACGAAGTGGAGTAAAGGTAAATAGGTCCTTAAGGTATAACAAAGTATTTGAGTAATAGCTTTATTCGAAACTTAATGGAGAGCATTTCAAAATTTACGGATTCAAGAACTTTTTGACATACCTGTAGAGCCTGCTGAAATTCCTGGCCGCCAAAGGATCTACTACTGAGGCCAAGTCTTCGAAATTGCGCACTCGGGGTAGACCACAGTATTCTCGCCATTCGTTGTAACCAGGAAGACCATGATCGCGTCCTCTTTGGATGTTCAGTGCCATTAGATCCAGCCCGCGACCCGAAGTACCAAAAAGATCATCCGTCAACTGTTCAAAATAATACATAATGAAAGTAATTTCCAGAATGAAATTGCGTTATCAATGATTTCTTATCACAGTTTAACCTAGAAAAAAGGTAAACATCTCTATAGGTAGAGTAACAACGATGCATTTTTCAGCTGGGTAGTCAGTTTCTACATTCCTAGTCTAGAAATATTGATCTCCTTAACTACCTTCTGGACCCAATGAGTCGCACATGATTTCTTTTTCTGGAACAGATGGCAGAGATGGCTTAAACAGAAACGCAATTCAAGGCTAGCAATCAATAGGCATGCGTTCAGATCTTAAGTCATGTGTCTTAACTTTCAGTACCTTTCAAAAATCGTGAAATAACTTAGATTTTTTAGTAGGAATATTATATAAGAAGGCTAAATTATTAGAATACTCGTTGCATCGTTGCTCATTGTATCTTTAAAAAAAAACCTTTATTTTCTTCTTTGCAGGCCGGTGCATAATGTTCACCAAAATAATAATTTAATTTTTTTAAATGTATAAAAAAAATCTGAAAGCTTTCAGATTTTACATTACGCCCAAAGGTGCGTTTCTTGAACGTTTATGTTACCTTTATTTATTAAATATCATGTTCTTTGCACTTAAACCACAAAAATTCAATTCAACAGCAATATCGCAAAATAATTTTAAAGTGAGCGTATCTTTTAGAATTTCCGATACACAGTCTTGCACGCTGGAGATAATTATATTTCGTACAGTGTTGCCATTGCTCCCTTTGAAATCGCTGAGTTTGTTATTGAAAAATTCGTTAAAGTGTTACAAAATATAAAGTCAATAATTTCAAAATTTGATGGCTCTAGGCACCGTTGTTTTATCCCATTGTGAAAAACATGCATATAACGGGTGGCCATAATTAAACTGACAGTGCTCACAGTGTTCTGTAGCGCGATCTATTTGCTAGAATGACGCGACATTTTGTAAGAAGATTAAACAAGACGGGGGACGAAGGATTCTGCGAAAAAAAATTAGTTCCAAAAGTCACCGCTAGGGAAATATTTGGCACTGTGTAATAGAAAATATAGTGTTAACAAACGCAAATCAATACGGAAATTACCTTTTATTTTGCATTCAAATGAGGTTCAATGTGGCTGCCGTTGTTGTGGACCACATATTGCAGTATGCACGACAGCAGAAAGTAACATGTCTGCAGGAATCTCTCGTACAGTCCGTGATATGTTATCCTTCAACGTAGCCAGGTCCTGGGCCACTCCTTGACAGACCTTGGACTTAAGGTAACCCCATAGCCAGAAGTCGCATGGGCTAAGATCAGCTGACCGAGGTGGCCATGCAGTTGGAAAGTAGCGGCTAATGACTCTTTCTGTTGTGAATTTCTATCGTAGCATCTGTTGCACCCATACAGCAACGTGTGGAGGGGCTCCATCTTGCATGAAAATGATTTCCCTCAGGCATTGTCTTTGCTGAAGTGCCGGAATGACAAAGCTGTTCAACATGTGGCGATATTTCTCTCCGGTAACAGAACAGGTTTCCGGTCCTGTCGGGGTAAAGTTCTCATATAAGAATGGACCTACGATAAATTCCGCTGTGAACCCACACCAAACAGTTACCTTTGGTGAATGTAAGGGAATTGCTGTGACTGCATGTGGTGATTTGTCATCCCAAATTTGGCAGTTCAGGGTATTCACAGTTCCATTCAGGTAAAAGTGGGCCTCGTCTCCCCATAAGATGTTTCATGGCCAAGCATCATCCACCTCCATTCTGGCAAGAAAGGTGAGAGCAAAAGTCAGTCGCTTATCATGGTCAGGGTACAGTAACTCCTGTACACTGCTGATCTTGTACGAGTAGAAGTTGATAATCTTTCGTAAGATTTTCCATACCGTACTGTAAGGCATATCCATATTCCATAAGGCATATCCATAATAAAAGGTAATTTTATTCCGTATTAATTTGCACTCTATTTTTTATTCCACAGCGCCAAATATTCCCCTAGCGGTGATTTTTTGAACTATTTTTTTTTTCGCGGAATCCTTCGTTCCCTGTCTTGTTTAATCTTCCTACAAAATGTGGCGTCCTTCTCGCAAATAGATCGTGCTACAGAACACTGTGAGCACTGTCAGTTTAATTATGGCCACCCGGTATTTATGGAGATTATTTAGTTTATTTAATTATTTAATTCATTATTTAATTTCTTTAAATATAACACAGGGCGATAATATACAGTTTAAAAAGTGAACTGACATTTATAGTGAACCAACGCAAAATGCCAAAACGAAATTAATAGTCCTTCAGGGCAAATTGCCTCTTTAGACTAAAAACTTAAAGCCTAGCAAAGCCCACAAAAGGCTTGAAAATCCTGAAGAAGTTAAAACTTGGGCAAGATGTCTGCTACGTTCATTTTCTCTTCGACAATACAAAAATAATAGACATATAATCCAAATTTATGCTAGGCAATTACCCCATAAATAAATTTTGATTAAGATCATGACGTATTATCATAAAGAAACGCAAATAAAGTTAAAAAACTACTAATCTACTAGATCTAATTGATAAGTTCCTAAAAATAGAAATTTTCCCCATTCTCTTTATCAGTGCTATAAAGCGATTCAAAGAATAAATACATTAAAGACTTCATTCACCAAAGCTTATCCTGAGAAATCATCACATTTATAGTTTGTGAAATTTCAAGAAATCTACGGTTAAGTGTTGGAAAATTTTATATGGCAAATGTGACGTATCAATTATTCTTGAAATCGTAGGAAGAGTGATTAGATCAGCCACATACAGGTTTGTTCTATAAAAGAAAATATTTCATACGAAAAACAAAACAAAAAGAATTAAATTCCTTTTTGAAAATTCGATGCTAAATGGACCTTTAATATTCTGGGAATATCTTTGTCTATGAGAAGAAAACTTAATATTCTCGGTTCAGTCGATCTCATTATTGTCAGCTGAAGAAAGAATAAAACTTTTTAATTAATTTTTTTTTTTTTTTTTTGTTTTGTTTTTTCCCCACTTTTTTCCGCTGCCTTCGGACTGCTATAGACTATTTCTTAAAGAGAAGAACAATTTTTAATTCATTAAAAATAATTGAATTATCATTTTGATAAATGTTATGCATAATTTTAGAAAACAAAAAGTAAAACTACTATTCAAAAAACAATAAAAAACCAAAATTTAGGACTCATATATGCAGCAAATCCTAATGTCATCTCACACGTTGTTTAACCACAAACAAAGTTTGTGGAAAGTAAACCCTAATTGATTGCATCATATCTCCGCATTCCTTTCTACATCCATAATGAATTTTATTCTATAAGGTATTTCTCCCGCCTTCTTAGCATGTTTTCGTGGTGTAATGGTCAGAATACTTGGCGCGTATTCGAGAGATCCTAAATTCGAGTCCCGGCGAGGGCTTTGCTCATTTTTCATGTCTCCTGCTTCGAAATAACTTAATGTCTCTCCAGTGGCACCCGAACTAAAAAAACGGTGGTGGATGATGATTCTCCATCACCAGGATTTGGCGACTAGGTTCCCTAATACCCAGTCGCCTTTTACAAGAGGAAGTATATAAGGTATTTCTCCAGTCTTCTTAGCATGCCTTCGTGGTGTAATAGCCAACACACTGGAGGCGTATCCGAGAGGTCCGAGGTTCGAGTCCCTGTTCGGGCACCACTGTAGAAACTTTAGGTTATTTCGAAGCAGAAGACATGAAAAACGAGCATTTCGCCTCTCGAATGCGCGCCGAGTTTGCTGGTCATGACACTACAAAGGGATGCTAAGAAGGCGGGAGACATACATTATAACCCAATGAAGTAGAACTATAAATTTCAAAGTTCAGAATTAAGGTCGTGTTGCTTATTCAGAAAGTAATGCAGTATAGTTTGTAACTCAAACGGACTAACTTTCCTTGTCATTTCAATGAAATACCCATATGTTAGGGATTTTTGCGCTATCCTGTAATATAACACATCATGGAAAATTTTAACAAAGAAGATAGTTGCGATTTAACTGAAATGTTTACTCCCGTTACTCTAATAAATTAACAGATATCCTCCCCACTTAAAAAAACCTTTTTCCAGAACTTATTTTTCACAAAAGGATCTGAATTTTTATTTGTAAAATTATCCAAATAAAAAAAAAAGATATAAGTATATGGTATACTATTTGAAAGTAAAATTTAGGTTATTCAAAACGTTTTTTAATATCTGAATAATAATTCGAGGACAAAATAATTCAAAAATATATTTTATAATATGCAATGCTTTCAACTGTAAATGAAAATGAAACGCAACAAAAATGTCTACTTACATAATTCGAAATATAGGCATCAAATGCTTGCGCAGGTTGCTGCGTTATGCCTCTGATCAAGGCATCGAAATTGCCTTTGGAGTAGAGCAAAGAAGGATCGAAATTGAAATGAATATTTCTGTCCCTCCTTCCGCCTTGAGATGAATACAATTCAGCACTGCTCTGCAAATAGAGACTCTGATTATAAATACATAAAACAGACTGCTATTATATGCTCGAGAAACGCACTTTCCATAAAATATAGTCACTCACAATTTATAATCATTATTGAATCATTTTTCATGATTCTGCTCCCTTATATATATGTACTCAAGTAATTAATGAAAAGAAAACAATTAACAAAGAAAAATCTGCAGCCTGAAATTTCACATTGCAGTCAAAGAAGTATTTTTAAAAATTTAAAAATATTATATTTAAAATCATACTACTAATTCTCTTTTCTTCTTAAAGAAATAGTATGCATATTATTGTGAACTCACAAAACTATACTTTTACAGTTAAAAAACTACATCTTTACCTTTCAAACTAAAATTTTAAATAGTCACTTTTAGAAGCTCTGATGGACTCTGATTCAGGACTTTTTGAGGGGAGACGTAAAATGCCATAAATAGAAAACATCAAAATGTTAAAAAAGTGTATCGCAATTTCAGTAAGATTAAAAAGGAAGAAAGAAAGACATAATGAGAATTAGAATTTGTTCGTTGCTACAAAATTTTATTATAATCATTCCATTTTGCTTCAGATTTTCAGATGATAATGCCAAGAAGAAATATAGTAAACATAGCAGACCAAATGGAGTTAGCCTCATGAAAATAAATTTGATGAATATTAAATATGATATATTATAGAATAAATGTTTGGTAAGGTGGTGTTGATAGATATTACGCTAGAGGAAAAGGAGGAGAATTTGAATTATATTGTATATGAAGCAAATTAGTGCAATTAATCTTGGAAGCACAAGATTACCCCTAGAAGAAACCTGTAATCAGGAGGGTAAAGATCATAACAGGACACAGTCACAATGAGTTAACAAGGTTTCTGAAACTGCAGTAAGAAGCATATTCTGTTTATCAGGGTTCGTACACATTTCTGCACATGGAAATTAAGCACTTTTAAGGACATTTTTAAGGACCATTGTTGAAAAAATTAAGGACCTACGATCAAATGGGAACTGAATAAATTCAACTAAAAATATTATCTATGCCTGAATTTCGCCTTTGTAATACCATTCTAAAAATAAAATAGATTCCTAAGTAGTATGCATTATTACTAAACATGAATACATAATTATTAATAAGTTTTGATAATAAAATAAACTTTATGCAATTTATCAAGTAGCATTAAATATTTTACATTTGTAATAGTTGTACATATTTGAAAGCAGATAAGTGATATTTACGTTTTACTAACAGTTAGCTTTATGTTGATTTTTTTATGTCTCATTTTGTCACATATTTGTCAGTGTCGTCATCAGGTAGATTTTATGTCAAACTGCATAAGTTAAAATAAGAAGTACGATCATAATCAGCATGATTCATAACCAAAAGACTGAATGTTGTCACCGCTGCTGCTTTTCTAGAGAGAGACCTGCTGATTCTAGCAAACCTGAAAGGCTTGATGTAGGCACGGTTGGCAAGTGTTGAAAATCAGCCAGGTTCTGTTTGATGCAGTTAGTGTCGTAGCTTTGTGTTGAGTTCCAGGGATTGTAACCCAGTCAGTATACTTTAGGTTCCAATAAGCCGTTAAAGCACCAGCGGTGATAAGTTGTTTTGTATTATTTTAAGTCTCACTAGATGCAAAGAATAAGTTTTACTTGAATTTTTTACATTTTTGTATTTTATCTTGTGACAGTGAGTATTAATGAAAGCAATTACTCACTTTAATATGTAGTGATAATTTTTAAGGGTAAACAGTTAGTTATCAATAATTAAATTAGGTAGTTTAATAACATTAGTCATTATGGATTTACATGGCCAATATTAAATTTTATTTTTTAATAATATTAATGTTAAAAAAGCCCTATTAAAATCACAATCTAATAAAATTTCACAGTTTAAAATACATGTAATTTATGACATTGATTCTTAAACGATATTAGGATAATTACACATTAAAAGCTACAAAACATTTATGTTTTGTAACAACAACACTCAACAAAATATTTATACGTCATTTTAATTTGAAGCCTTCCCAGACATTTTGGTTAGTTTATATCGATTTCTTTCTCTTTAAGCATATGCATATTTGTCTCTATATGCAAACCAATGACCTTGCTAGTTTCTGCGTGCTTTATTTCCTAACTTGTCAACCTCTCCACAATGTGCCTATGAGGGCTTACTTGATCTGGTAAAAGTTAAATAGTGCAAAACTCCCGACAGACGTGAAGCATATCATCGCTATGACTCAAAGTAACTACAACATCAGACAAAGGTTTAAATAGGCCTCTTATTTAAAAAGATCTTAAAACATAACATAAAGGTATGTTCTGATGCTAACAAAATCAATTACAGCTCACGGTGAAGTAATTAAACGAGAACAGACAAATTCAAACTAGAAATGTGGATTAGTGGTCAAAGATTACACAATTTAATTTTAATTTGATCTGGCTCAGTAACTCTATCATATGAGGAAATGGGGAAATTATAGTAAACGCTGAAATCATAAATAGATGGGTAATTTACGTAATAAAAACTGCACATATTTTTGAAGAATAATTTTCTTTATGCATTCAGTTTCTTTCTTCAACACGTTTCCTTTTCATTTTAGATTTTTTGGATTTAATTAAGGATTTCTGTTATTCTAAAAAACACAAAATGCATTTAGAATGTACAGAAAAGCGGCTAATTTTATTTCTTTAGTAATATGAATATTCAGAAGAAATATGAAATATATATGGTAAAGGCCGGGTACAGAGCTGAAGTGGCAGAATTTTTAGAATTTAATGACACACCGAACAACAAAATCTAGAAATAGCAAAACTTTTAGAATTTAGAACTGTCACTGGAAGCATTTAGAAAGGCACTAGGCAACAGAATTTAGGATCTACAGAGATTGCATCAAATGGGAAAATGCCTAGTGCCAGCTATGTGTATGGTGCATTAAGACATATTAGATTAATCTTTTAAATTGCAAGTTTTCTATTTCTTTATTAATAAAAAAATGCCTGCCTATGTGATAAGATTAGAAGCATTCTTGATATTTTCCATGCTTGTGTCTAGTGAAAAGCATAGAAAATAAAGGGGAAAAACACGTTAAGATTCTAGTATCAGAAGTAAAACATTCAAATATTATATTTTCATTGTTCTTCCAGACGTTCTCCAAAAAGTAAGAAATTCATTGCAAACTTTCTGTAAAATACATCCATTACATGTTGATACCATGGAGACATTTTTAATTTTGTCGCATATTTCTCGAATCTTCTAGAATCGTAGCTCTATAAATCTTGCCTTCAAATCCTTCTAAACTTTCCAAGCTGCAATGTCTAAAATCCTAAAGAAAAATTATCCCTACCAATTCTGTAATAGCAAAAGGCCAGAAATATTTTCGAAGAAAAAAAGGAAGGAAAAAGGGTAAAATTAATTTTATAGAGAAAAACTGATGCATACTCTGAGAATTCTAAATATTCTGAGACAATTGTATGAGAAAAATTCTTACCATGAAAAAATTAAAAAAGAAGACTTTTTAATTAATTACATAGCTAATTTTGTTTTTGCTAAGAGCTGTTTCGTAAATTGTGCTTTAGCGAATTATACCTTGTTTATTTTTCAGATTCAAAATATTGTATAATAAGTTGCCAAAATGAAACTTTATAATATGACAGAGAAAAATTAAAATGTTTTTTAATGTTATTTTTTAATATAATTTCAATATATTACCATTATTTTAATGAAATTTATCAGTGTTACAATGTTTAAAAAAAAAATCGTCGAAAAATTCTCAGACCTCGGAATTAAAAATTTTCAATAGAAACCGATCTTAAAATCGCCAAAATGTTGATAAGTCGCCAAATTTAGAATCGTTTAATAAAAGAATTCACATCCCCAAAAGCGAAAAGTTGTTTAAGAGTTTTGTATTAGAAAAAAAATGAATTTCGCTATGCTTATCTTTCACTTCTTGCTTAGAGCCTCGAGTATCCCATCATTTATATTAGAAATAGAAACAAATTATAACCCATGAACCCATTCAAAAGGTAACCATACACGTCAGTAAATCGCCAAAAATATTCCTCCAAAATGCTAATTCACACTCAAAATGGCAGTCGTAAAAACATATAGAAATTTCAGATGATTAAAATTAAGAACCTTCTGCTGATTTGGGTCAAAATTAAGGACTTTTAAGGACCAAAAATCGATTTCAAAAAACTCTAAGGCCTTTTAAGGACTCTTAAGGACCGTACGAACCCTCTGTTTTCCTGAAGAAATTTTTGGATTATTCAGAACGAGATTTTTATACATTTTGTTATCTGTGGAAAAACAATGTCTTCCTTCACAATTAAAAATATTACGAACTGTACTTTCATTTAATGATTAACTTACTTTAATACTGATATTTTAATTTTTCTGTTGAACTCTATTAAAATTTTAAATTTCAGTTTTCGGCAATTATTTGGAACAGTTTAATTTTCACGTCATCCTCTTTCTTCTTGGCTTTTAATAAAATAATTTGACCAATTGAAAAGATACATACCGCGGCAGCTATATTGGAACTTGTGTTGAGTTCTAGAGAGATTAGAATTGATGACGAAAGTGTTTTCATTCTAGGAAGTCTTTGAGTTGTTAGTCACCCTTAGGTCAAAGATCCTGTAATTAGGAACTAGTCAAGTTTGAATACTCCTTTCTGTCAATGAAAACTATGGGGTAGCTCCTTTTTAGTTTTTATTTCTTATTAGGTGAGAGATTCAACAAAAATAGTCCCTTACTTTAGGGACTCAAAATTAAATGTTGTTCTTGTCTTAACCTGTTCTAGTCTTTCTTGTCTTAAGCCAATCTTAAGAAGCAGCTCTTCTCAATTAGATGAAGAGAGTAACGGAAACTTTTTCGAACTTACTGTTTATCCGCCGCACAGAAAATACCCGGAATATTGAATAGAAGCATGGTTTTTGTGATAAATTCACTCCCCCCCCCAGAACCTGCTTATAGATCTAGCTAAAAATTGAAGCCCAG